CCCCAAATGCAAAATGCAAGAGGGTTTATTTTACGCAGTAGCAGGCCTGCACAGCACAATGCCTGGCTCTATAACTACAGTATATAAGAATTTTGTAGAAGTTGAACATCTCTAGAGTGTGCAAACTCATAGGGTAATGGTCATGGAATTGTTTTGGTGAAAATAGAAGCAAACTGTACATGCCATCTTCAATGTTTTACATTTTCAGCTTACAACTTATATTTTAGTAATAAAACTTTCATTTTTAACAAACTTTAAAGATCACCATGGACAGACAACACCCACATCCTCCAGACACACTCTGCATTCCATCATCGAATATGAATCAGACTGATACAAAGCTGTTTGAATACCTATTGAGTATTAGCATTTTGCTCATATATAAGTACAAAGAAGAAAAAAAAACAACTTAAAAGAATAAACACACAATTCAATACTGCCAGATACATGTTAAATGCATAATAAGAAAGAATGTATGCATGAGATTGCAAGAGATGATAAAATACCTTCCAGTTAAACAGACAAAAATTCAATCACAAAAAATGTGTTTGGTCCAAATACTGAGAAATACCATTCGTCAGTAACAGTAAAACTTACAAAGTCCACCTACTTAGGTTGCTAAAGACTTAGAAATGGAGATGGGCAGAAAAACATTTAATTGTTTGAGCCGGAAGCAGATATTGAGTAAAAAAAGAGCAGCTGTTGAACAACATTTTTCACCGGCCAATTGGAAATTTAAATTAATTCCAACCATCATCCAAACATTAAAAAATATCTAAAAATTTGACTTTATCTCAGTTTAAAACCATTTTGACAAACCTATGTCCGCAGGTCCGCTGGGAACAATTGTGCGAATAAATAGTGTAATCTCAAATTAAAATAAAACACAGTGTTTGCTCAGTCGGAGGAAAAAAAATTTGTAATTTTCTAACAACTCTGTTGTCTGAACTGGCAGAACAGCATGTTTATCTGGCAAGCACAAAAGTAGAATGCAAAAGAAGGCAAACTAGAAGTCTCTCTCAACATTACACAAACAAAGTTTTACTACAACTAAATCACAGTTTTAAAATCTGGAATTTCTGATGTGACAGAAGTACAGACTGTCATATTAATAGGAAAAAACAAAATCACAAGTACAGAATGCACAGAATTGGAAAGTTATCTAATAACTCATTTCAGGGCAGTGGTTATCAAAACTATGTTTTCTGATTTCTTGGATTTGGAAGAGAGTAAATGACGTTTAAAGTTGAGATTATTGCTGTCACCTTATCATTTACCGAGTCTATTATCAAATAAAAAGTGCACTCATTGTAGTAATGAATCAAAAGTGGCTAAAATAGTTAAAATTATGCCCATCTAGATACGTACATAAGAAATTAAATATGCTAATGTACGTTAGCATGTGCTAACAAAACTAAACCAAACTGTACATTTCGAATCTTGTTACCATTCTTTGCTTCTATGTATGTACTAAAGCATAAGAAAGAAGGTCCTCTCCTCTCATGACTGTCATTAGAGCTACAAGTGTTAGATAGATACTTATATTTCTTTAAAACTCCAAAAAACAAAAATAAAACTTAATATAGTAACTGAATACAAATTTGTCTTCAAGTAATTGGTAACAAAAGAAGAATGTATTTTTATGGAGAGGTAATTCTTAAACATCACCATGAAGCTGAGTGCGTGTGAACAAAACTCAGTGGTTTACAGAAATTGTCATGCAGGTAGAGATAATTAATCTACCTCCCATAACATGGTAATACTCTGCATTCAACATTTCTTATTTTTACATTTTTTTTATTTATATTTTTGGCCCCAGTCCTAAATGGTTGAAATACCAGTAAAAATATAACTCACCTTAGTTTTTCCAGACAACAAGGCAGGTGCCAGCACGTCCAGTATTGAGCGATGCGGCCTGTAAACACAATTATTGTTTATTTTTACAAATCAGAAATTTTAATAAGTCAACAAGTGCAATTCCAATGTTAAAGCAATCAAATGATCACTGTCAGTACCTGAGACCACTCATTGGTCTGAGGGTCATACACCTCCACTGAAGTCTTATAATGATGTCCATCGTAGCCTCCAACACTGAAGAGCTTATCCCCAAACAGTATCACACCAATGCCATCTTTACCACTGCTCATAGATGCAACCATTGTCCATGTATCAGTTTTTGGATCATATCTGTATATTGATGCATTTTTAGTAATGGTTTATGAGCACAAGCCACTTCCTGTTTAGTGAAGTTTAAATCAATTGTTTACCTTTCAACACAATCAAAACGAGAAGCAGAGGGATTTGAAGCAGGTGCATCATGGCCTCCCATTGCATACAAATAACCATTCGCAACACCAACTCCAACACCACCCCTTCTTTTAGCCATTGGAGAGCATGCTACCCACTTATTCGTATGTGGATCATAACATTCAACCGAACGTAAACATGAAGACCCATCTCTGCCCCCAACTGCATACAATCTAAAGGTTATTCATGGAAAAAAATAAACAGTTTAATTAAAATTTGGATACAGTAGCAATGTTTTCAGAACAGTTATCATGAAAATACCCACTTGTTGTTCAAGACAGCCACACCAACGGTCGACCGTTGAGAAGACATTGGAGCCACATAACTCCACTGACAAGCCTGAGGATCCCACCTTTCAACAGTATTGAGGTAACTCCATCCATCATGCCCACCAACAGCATACAAAGGACCCTCTAATACTCCAACACCTAAATAGACAGATAATATCCCCCCAAAAAAAGTGTGTATTGACTAAGGACTTAAAAAAAAGGCAAATGAAAGAAAATATGCAAATTCACCTAGGCCATGACGATGAGTTGACATTGATGGAAGTGTTGCCCACGTCTTTGTATTGGGGTCATAGCATTCTACACTATTTAATGTTTTTAGACCATCTCTACCACCAACAACAAAAACTTTTCCATCCACTACAGCAACACCAAATTGAAGACGGCGTCCATTCATCTCATCAACATGATGCCAAGAATCTGATCGTAAGTCATACCTTTCAATGTTGGTGGCTCCTTAAAAAGAATAACACACTAAAAATATTCCAATCCAATCCAAAAACTCAGGTGAGAGAGCTAAACAGCTAAAAAGACAAAAGTTGATTATAAAACTCACCTTTCTTCGCATACATCCCGCCAATAGCATACAAAGATCCTACTGTTGACTTGCGAGGATGAGTTCTAGCAGATTGTAAAAGGGGCCTCCTTTCAGGTAGGAGATGATATTTAAGTGCCTCCATAATGAGGTCCTGGCAAGCACGGATGTCCTTGAACATGGGGTTGGTTTCAATGTGATCTGCAATAAACTATCGAGGGGATACAAAATTATCACACAAAATTAGAAGGAAAACATACATGGGTTATAAACAAAATGAGCAGTAGATACAATAAAATACTTACTGAGGGAGGCAGTAGTGGGAGTTTCACATACGCAAGTAAGTTTCCCAGGTCATTCTTTCTACTAGTTAAGTCATGTTTCAACCATCCCATTAAAGCCTGAAAAATGTAAAAAATTATTTTTACTCTAAAAATGACAATTAAGTACATACAACTTCATGCGTACAAAAACTCACAAGAAAGACAGCCTCTTCATTTGGAACGTTGAGATCATCGGAGGCAAGAAGTTTAGAGACCTGTTCAGGAGAAAGCTGCAGGAACTCCTGGTTACGAACAACTTCCATGAAATGTTCCTGGACAAACATACACACACAGCCAAAAATATAATGGTAAAGAAGACCAATTTGGGTAAAGAAGACAATTCAGTACACTTACAGTAGTATATGCATGAGCAGCTTGTTGGAGATCAGCACACCCCTGTTGATCAGCAAATAGACAGATACCAATACAGTTTGATGGGTGAAGTTGTCTCCGGAGAAAGTTACAGCATGCTGTGACCACTGCTGGGAGCTGAAGGAGGCAAGCTGTTGCCAGCAGAGTTTCAACAGTATCCTCCCTGAGTTCCACTCGCCCTGTAATAGATTATCATGCAATTACGCATTGATGAGTTTTACTTGGGTTTACTTCGACAGGGACAAAATTGTGCTGAATTAAAGAGTTCACCTGTATAACAATATTGCACCAGGGCATTCAAAGCAGAGCCATCAACATCTTGAAGTTCTATCTCACTTAGGTTTGTTTCTCTCAGTCCATTTGTAAACATTGCAGAGAAATATTCAGATCCAGCGCTCAGAATTAATCGGTGAGCAGGAATGCGTTTAGTACCTGTAAACCAGTCAGTGGGCATCAATTATTGAAGTATCAAAAACAGCAGAGAGAAGGAAATGTATACTAAATTTTTACCGGCAATAAGCACAACATCTGTGAGCTGTCCAAGCTGTAAATAAGATTCCATTCGAGCCATGCTGTTCTCAGCATGACATGGGGATCGGAAGCATTCATCACCAGTGCTTTGTGCAGACATACTAGATATACTATATTCACTACTAGTGTCTCTGACTCCAAAAGCAGAAAGTTCACTTCTGATTTAAAGGGAGATGAGAAAGGAATGAGAAAAAATGTAAAAGCTGACATGATAGACATAATAAATGTTAGAGCAGTCCGAACATACTTTGCGTCTTGAGGCTCGTCATTTGCGGTAGTCCCATCTCCTTGAGACCCAGTCATTTTTAAGAGCTTACTTACGAAGAAACACTCGATTTCTGAAACAAAGCAGAATTATTATCAAATTAGTCTGTTTTACAAAACTAATTGATAGAATGAGATGAGATGGGATTGGACGATTTCTGTTGCAACCTAACTTACCAATAGAGTTTCACACAATCCACAAACTTAAGGTTCATGAACAGCTGTTGATTACAATTAAAATACAGGGACGGAAAAGAACTATGTCTTACCTTATTGTTGCAACTTGTTACAACTAGTTACAACTAGCAAACAAACGAAGAACAAGGAATGTCAACAAGAGTTCTAGATAAATGTCAACAACCCTTAAGTGTCACTGACACAAAGCGATACAGTCTCACGTAATTGGGGAAATATTTCTTCTAGACTCTTCCACTGGGATCATTCGGTGTGGATGCATTCTTAAAACCTCCACTTAGAAACTGTCACAAAAACAGATTTTATCAGCATTAATCAACGAGCAAAATAAACAGACCTAACCTACCGAAGCCGATACATAGGTTCGTCTGCTAGTCTACCCAAACAATAGTTTTGGTCATTCGTTGAAATAATATGCAGAAAAGTAATGCGAGAAAAGGACGTCGTGTACTTACGTGTAATCACACAAAAGATTTCATTTGGAAACAAGATTTCTCGTCTTGGTGATCAAGCTCGGGACGGAGCGACTTTGGGTCGTTTGTCACAGAGTCAAGGTTGGCCACCCTGGCCAGGTTGATGGCCCGGATCGATCTCCACCCCGCCTCCCCCTCTCCCCCGCCCCCTCTCCACTCCCCGCCAACAATAGGTCAATCAGTCCTCGCAATGTCGTATTCCGATGCGGTAGTAGCTCTGGCGCCATTGACAAGGCAGTCGGCTTGGAGCATCTTTGCTGGAATAAAAGCCCCCCCCCCCCCGGTCCTACCACATTTTGTGAACCGAATCATCGAAATCCCATGAAATCGGCCGGCGAAATTGCGAATAAGGGGAATAAGCATTAACGAACAGCTGTTGTTGTCATCCGGCTCACAAAGATTGTACCGATTGTACCGACCAAGCCGTTTCTGAAGAAAAATTCGACTTTAAATTTCGGTTTTGCTTTGCACCTGTCATGAGACCACGACCTAAAAAAAAAAAGGCCGATTCTCGTCCGTGACTGGGGACGGGGGCCTGGAAAGGCAACAGGGTTAATCGGCGACCAGGAAACTCACCTTGTCTCAAAGCCGAATTGTCTGGCATAAGGCGTGCGTTCTCCAATTGACCACAGGCCACCAGAAGCAACAGAAACAAACGCTAACGTGGAAGTTGCAGGTGTGGAACTCACACGGAGAAAAGGGGAACCTCGTCTGGAGCGCTCCCGCGGGATTGGCGGGAGGTGGCGGCGGCGCGTCCGGGCGTCCCGTCCGGGCCGAGGGAAGTCCTTGAGACACTCACGGGCGGCCCGGCCGCTGCAAACTGCATATGCATTTCTCGCAAGAGTTCCCATAAAATTCCGAAGAACCTCGTTGTCGTGTTTCCTTTCTATAATATGCACTAATGCCGGAGGCAATGGAAGCAAGAGGGCAAGATAAACCGACCCAGTGAACCAGTTCCTTGACGTACACTGTTAAAGTTCTACAAAACAGTGCTTTTCAGAACTGCGAAGTATTTAGATCCTTGCAGGAATTTAACAGTGTAGGGATCGTGCAGAAAATATGTTCGCTTTTTCTAATATTCATGTTCAAAAACACAGGAGCGCAGAGCGCCTGCGAGACCCAGGGTAGGCCGCCGAGCAGTACACGCAAGCACAGCATGCAATGTGTTGCCTATCAATCGGGCGCCATGAGAGCTGAGCTCGCAGAGGCTCAGTCAGCTTTGACAGGTTCGTAACGGCGAGTGATGGGCGTACTTTCTGGATGACCACTTGGTGTAATGTGCATCATACAAGATGCTGCAGATATAATGGAGTGCTTGGCTACCGATGAGTTGACTACGCAACGCATGCCTAATGCTTTCGATCATCCTACGCACATACGTATCGGAAAGGGGGGGGGGGGTCTCTGATCCTAGCTCTAGCCCGCTACTGCAGAAAGCTTTGCAAGCTCGGGCACGCGCCTAGTAAGAATACAGTTTTGTTTTGACAGTCTCTGAAATAAAAAGAAGTACCCAGGTAGAACACAATCGTCAAAAACTCGTCAGTGACGCTCATTAGACATCTGAATGAGCTCAATCTAGCTACCTGGCCGCAGTAAATCTTGACGATTAGCGTCAAAATGAGGTCGTTCTGAGATCAGTTTGACAAACGTGTTCTACCTGGGTAAGTGTGCGCGACTTACCATCCTGACTCACATTTAAATGTTACATCATGTATTAACCAAAGTGAAATTTTTCAGAAAGAAGGCGCTTTGATGTGCCTCCCCCCCTGGGTGCACCTCACCTTAGCACAATTTACCAAGTCAGAGAGTCTGTTTCTCCAAAAAAAAGGTGCCCTCCATTGATGCACCTTCTTTCTCTAATAACGGGTTGCATGGGGAAATGGGGCATCAATGCAAGGCACTTTTGAAGAAACACTACTTTTATTCACCCTGTTGGCATATGTTAAATGTGCACAAAGGAGAGATCAGGGGAGACACTGCGTAGGCGCCTTCAGGGGCTCCCTTTTCTGAAGCGATCGCCTTTTGGCGCCTACTTTTGAGACAACTCGAAATTTTCAGCATACCTCTCGCGTATAATGGTGATTCAGTACATGAGCCAATATGACATGACCTACCGCACTCTTTCTCTATTAGAGGCCTATGATCCCCCCTTCAGTGCTCTCGCACTCGCACCAACTCGCGCGCACCTACACACCCTACCCCCTCTCTCTCCCTCTTTCTCTACCCTCTCTCTCCCAGCCACACACACACACACACACACACCAGCCCGTCTTGAAGACTGCAAGACTAGTTCCGTCAAGGTCGTGAGGATCTTGTGTGTGTGTGCGTGTGTGTGTGTGCGCGCGCGCGTGTGTGTGTACGTGTTTGTGGAGTTCCTTGCTACCGGCTGGCAGTGGCCGCAGCCTCGCATGGGATATATATAAATAAAAAGCGGTAGTCGTACGTTATTTTATTGTGGTCTGCCGGAGCGAGCGCACCTCCCGCCCGTCGCGTTCTCTGCGCGCCTCTCGAGCCGCGACCAGTCTCAGTTCAATTCCGGAGTGACCGCCTCCCCGACAAGATGACCCAGTGCGAGAGCGGGTCCGCCCCGGCCGTGGTGCTTGCCGCCGCCGCCCTGTTGCTGGTGATGGCCAACGCGCCACCCGCCCATGCCATCGGCCTCAAGATGCGTGAGTGCCACAGGACAGGCAGTGGTGAAAGCCACTGTCAAAAAACTACTTTGTAAATGTTGACGGCAATAAATTGGAAAATTTGTAGCGCAAAAGGCGAGGGGTCGACTACTCAAAGTTTTAAGTGCACGTGGAATATCTGGAATAATTTAGGAATACCTGGAATAATTTGGAAATATATGGAATACTTTCCCCACCGCTCAGCTGCTGTAAAATCCGTAAAAAAAATCAGTTTTTTCAGTGAAATGTTTATTGGTTTCTATAAACATCGGTTTGCACTCTGCATGGCAAGGGGCAGTTTTTGTCCATTGCAAAATGCGTGCGTGTGCACATCTTTGCAAGATACAATTGTGAAGCGTGTATTTGTATAGTGACAAATTTACATCTTCAGTTGGACAGGATAAAAATTTGTCCAGCAAAAGATAAAAAATCTTGTTTTTTTTATTATTATTTCATCGAAGTTTACCTTTTTCATTTACTTTTATGAAGCCGGGCACAAAGTTGAACGACTAGCACCGAGGCACGGGTGACAAGCGACAATGTCAGCAGTGGTCTCGCTATTAGCTCGCACCAGTTTCACTAACCACGCGCACGCGCGACGCATGGTCGAGAATGTGAGCACTGAGTACAGAGACTCGTCTGATTTATCACCTGCCTGCCTCTTGTGAGTTTACGGCTGTCCTCTCGGTGTTCTCCTTGGGAACTGCTGGAAGTTCGTTTAAGACAGCTTCCTACAACCCAAGCCGCTGTGCTGTGCGGCAGGTTCAACTTTAATGTTAAACACACGCACGCATACGAGGTATGGGTTGCTCGCATTATTTTGACCGACACCTCCCCATCATTCCAAACTGATGTAGTGTGTAGTAACAAACAGAGGAACGACCTGCTCCCAGCCGGAGGTCCGCACTTGAGCCTGTCAAAGTCACTTTTCAAACCAGATTTTAGCGAGTTGTATGGGGGGTTCCATTCTCCTCCAGAATCGTACACCCCACACCACGGAGTCTGCTTCATAATTTCTTTGATAATTGTTATTATTACTGATGATGGTCCCATCAGATCCCGGCGCCTTTCCGGAGGCTCAAGCACTCCTCGAGGTGGCCCTGAGGCGCCTGACCGCCGGCCCGCACCAGGTCCGACGGGGTACTCCCTTTGCTCCCTTTCCCCAATCCGCGCGGACCGGTTTTGGTCAAGTGCCCTTGGCATCGAGCTGCCAAATTATGGCACAGGAAATTATGAGGCCTCTCTTTCTTGTGTGTTTTGTGCTGCTAATGTACACACACGAGCGCGGACCCACTGACCCTCGATATTTCCATTTTCCCGACTATTATGTTTAACCTGATGTAGATGTGCGCCCATCACTCGAGACCCCCTTCAAGGACTTGCGGCTTTACGTGAGAGACAGCCTGCTTGCCTGCTAAGGAGTTTTAACAAAGACCAGTGACAGAGAGGACGATGGTGCGGGGAGCGAGGCCGGGGAGGGGGGGGGGAGAGATTTCGGCGTTGTTCTGCAAGCCTCGCACCGCGCATCCCGACCACTTTACGATGTACTGCTACATTGCACGTAAAGTCCGCGACAATCTTCTACATTATCGTTTGTGTTTTTTTTTGTTTCACTCCCGCAGCGAGCTACATCACCGCCTGCAAGAAGAACGACCCCAACCTCAACGAATGCGTGGTGAAGGCCGGCCGGAACGCCATCCCCCACTTCATCAACGGCAAGTCGTGTTCATTTTACTGGTAGAATATGATAATATTGTACCTCTTTCTTGTCGTACTTTACACGTACTCTTTATTGGGCTTAGAGTAGACAGACCGTCACGGCCCGGGAGTCGTCGCGGTTGTAGACTGCGACAGACCTGTAGCTCGTTCTACGTCAGCCTACGCAGAGCAAGCTGGTCTTTCCCGGTCTACGTCGGTAGGTCTCGAAAGACGCTTTCGCAAAGCTCTGCCGGGCAGGAGGCGCCTATGCAGTCTCCTGGACGCCGCCGGCAGCATAGGCAATGTGCAAGAGACGAGGCGCAGTGGGGCGAGGCGGGCTGCCTACCCCGGACTCCTGAGGCGCTCTAGCTATGCCGGGCCGCCGGGCCGTCCGCCTAGGGCCTGCCGCCTGCGGTGGGCATGGCAGGGCGTATCAGAGCGGACTCACTAGTGTTGCCGGTTTGCATGCCACATTGGGCGCTAGGAGCGTTGGCACCCCACGGGCGGAGGCAGTAGGCTGGCCCGCGACACAGCCCGCTCTGACACCCCCCGGTACACACGGACATTTCATGAGGGTGTATTTCTCCTACAGGCGACAGAAAATACAAAATCCCCAACCTGAACCCGCTGACGGTGTACGACTTCAAGGTTTCGCAGGGCACCAGGTCCGTTGGGCTCAAGATCCACATGAAGGAGGCTACAGTTCTCGGACTTCCCGAACTCGTCTTCGAATCGGCAAAGTAAGCCCAATAAGCCCCTTCTAGTCACACCCCACATTCGACAACTTCCTAGCGAAGAGAGGGAAAGTATGGGTGTGGTGTGGGCTGTTTCTAAAATGTCGTTTCTCTTAATGACACTACAGGGTTGATCTTAAGAAGAGGCACATCGAGTGGAACCTGAAAGGCGAAACCATCTCGATAACTGGGATCTACAACGTGACGGGCAACGTGCTCATCCTACCCATCACAGGACAGGGGCCCGCCAACATCACCCTTAGTAAGCATCACGGTTTGAGCTTGAGCGGACTGGCCCGGCTGGCGGTCAATGGAACGAGTAGTAACCCCTCTCCTTCCCTCTCCGACAGAGAACTGTGCATTCAACTACACGTTCGACTACGACCTGAAAAAGCAGTCTGACGGCAAGGATTACATGAAAATTACAAACTCCAACCTGAAGTTTGACACGACCCGTGTCTACGTACGACTGGAAAACCTCTTCAACGGCGACAAACTTCTTGGTAAGTACAACGAAGTCCGCGAGTACAATTTGCTTTATCTTATTTTTTGAGTACTCTGCTAATCTCAGTGTAGTAGTTTGCCAGTTTAAACTGGCAAACTATTACACACTAAGATTAGCAGAGTATTTATTATTTTTAAAATAAAAGTTGTCTTTTTTGGGAAATAATGTGCCTGATCCAGGGCCTTAGGGTAATAAAAAGGTAAATTCTCGACCATTCAACATCCGTAACAGCCTTCAGCCAAAACACTGATTAGCTATGACAACCTTTGTATGGTTGGTTTAGGCAGCATCATATAAGGGGGATCGTCCAGAAAAGACGTCTGTTTTTTCTCAGATTCGTTCGTCAAATTGCGAGAGTTCGGCGAGACGACTCGGGGTAGACCACCCCGCAGTACACGCGTGCACTGTAGGCAACATTATGCCTACCTATCAGGCTCTATGAGAGCCAAGGCTAAACCGCACCATTTCGTAACGATGAACGACGGACGAACTTTCTCGATGATCCCTAATATTCACTCAGAAAAATGATTTCTTGTTGCAAAGTACATTTTGTAGTAAACGAGGCCCAAGATTATTTTCTTCTTGACACAAGAAGATTTTTGCTTGGAGTAAAAAAAAAACAATCCCCAATGCGGAAGGTTAAGTCACCTTCCACCTTCCCTAAAGGTTTTTAAATTGATCCGAGGTCAAGAAATGCACTTGAAATGAGAAAACATTTCTCTGAGTGTGGTTCAGAAGACAACAATCATCACAATTATTTGGGAGAAACGACTATTTTGTGTTCTCACAAATAACCCTCTTGTGAATGTTGCGGATGGTTCTCTGATTGTGTCGGTGGCTTTACGATCGTCCGCTGGGATTGGATCACCCAAGTTTGTTTTCCATAGTCGTCGCGTGGCGCGGCTCGCCTATTAGCAGCGCGCTCGTGCGAGCCGCGGGGGCCGGCGGGGGCCGGCGGGGGCCACTTGACGGGTTCCGCTGCATCTATTTCTCATTAAATGTCGACAATCGTGTGAACTGGTGGTCGGTCGAGGCGCGACGCGCGCCCTGCCCTGCCCGGGGCGTGGCGGTCGCGGGCAACTTAAAGAGACCAGCTGCAATGAACGACGCAGATTTACAGTGTGTGGCGGTAGAACCCTCCCGAATCACCAGACTTAACGCTATACGCCAGTATGCTCAAATTTCTGCATAATGACGTACACTGTTCAAATCCTACGAAGCGAATGCTAATGCAATTGCGAAGGATTTCAACAGTGGATTTAAAAATGCGTAAGCCGATCATGCATGCCTATACAGAACTCAGTAGGCTATGAATGTTCATAAGATTTTAGTGTGTGGTCATGCCCTTATTGCGAGCGTGTTGAACGTTTCAAAGTACTTGCCAGTTGAACCCATCAAGTTTTACCCCCCCCCCTTTTCTCACCTAGCTATTCAGCTGCACTTGTCACGTTATTGAACTCTTTTTAAAATCATTTTTTTTTCTCTCTGCAGGCGAGAACATGAATCGGTTTATCAACGAAAACTGGCGCGAGGTAACTCAAGAAATCGGCCCTACAATCGCTGGCGCCGTTGCCGAGGTGTTCCACCAAATTTTGACGAATATTTCCGATCTCGTACCGTGGGAGTACGCCTACGTTTAGAATGAAGCTATTGGGGGATGGCGCACTCCTAAAAGTGCCCTCTGTTAGTGTACCTGCAACAACTTGAGTGATTTAAAAGAATTTTATTTTTAGACTTGTTTAAATGCATTAATAAGCACACGACATAGTGATATCTGAAAGGGAAAGAAAAAAGAGCTCAAAAAGCAAATTTGTTTTCATACCAGTACCGATTTTAAGATGATTGTGTTATTGTTATCTTGTTAAGTCGTCATACCATGTGCGTCCCAGCGGACTGATTTAAGTAGAAAAGACCCAGGAAAAAGAAAACGATCATCAAACAATGTTACGCACGCGTTAATTGGCGCGTTGTTTTGGACCGTGGGTTTTCCTTCTGTGATGTATGTGGAAAGTTACCATAAGAATGTATAGAGAGGCTTAGCCTATGCTGACGACAGTGGCAATAAACGCCTTTCTGTAGGAAGATTTACTGTACTGAACTCCTAGTGTGATTACAAATAAGCGCTAGAAAATCGATCGCAGCGTCGAAACCTGCACGTCCTTGGATGAAAAAATTGCGCGGTGTTCAATCAACACAACGATACGACAAAACCGGTTATCGAAGAAGCGTGATTTGTCTCATTAAATATTTTAAACACGAACAGCTAAATCTAGAACGCAGAACGCATAAGACTGCCTCATTGAGATCTCGTAAAGCACATACACAAAGTTCTTACACTGAAAATGCAAGTGTGTGAATGTCGCTCACCTGCAGATGAGCGACATTCCATTCGTACACTTACGGGGGTAAACGTGTGAATTTTCTAGGAAAAATTCACACCTTTACCCACCTAAGTGTACGAATGGAATGTCGCTCACCTGCAGGTGAGCGACATTCACACACTTGCATTTCCAGTGTACGCTTTTTCTTACTTCAAAAATAGAAAAAAAGTACAAATGTTGTCGCGTTTCTTGAATGAATAACCCAAACCAAAACAGTCGTGTTCGAAGTGGGTCACGATGAAAAGCTGTTGTTTACTTATCTCAGCCGGATCAAGTACGAGAAGATGGACTGGGACCTCCGTATTATCTAAAAATGGGCATAACACGTATCAATTTAAAATTAGCAGCGGAAATAATCTTGTGCATTTACAACAGTTTTTGTTTTGCAGTCTGGTCAATCAGGATGAATCAGGGTGTATCACCGTGACTCACAGTGATGTTCACCGTAGCTGACGGTGAAATTCACTGTAATCTTTTATTAGTGAGCTTCCCTGACCCACCACTGGTACCCAACTTAGCAAACGGCATTGAAACTACATTTTGAGTCCCGACTACACCCGTGCATGCGGTACACTATATGTTCGAAAGTGCGCAGTGTGAGTCAGCCACCTGGTACTTATACACATTTTGCATGAACAACTATTTTTTTTACACTGCAGATGGGACACAAAATGAGGAGTTCTAATGCAGTTCTTCTACTTTGGGAAATATGTCAGAAACGGTAGCCGAGTAGCGCATTTACTGCGAATTAGAGCAGGCTGGCGCCTCTTAACACGTTGAGTCCCACGGGGGCCCCCTTTTACATGGCCATATGTGTGGTCATGTGAGACTCAGCGTGTTAAACCCACAAACATTTTTTTTTTTACGCAAAGGCATATGCGGCACACCCCAAAAAGCCAGTTTTTGAGCCATGCGAACCAACTTTTGCACATCGTGATGCTCTTGCCGGATTCAAACTTGCCCGCCGAACTTTGCCGGGTACAGATTCGCACCTACCTCCAGGTACAGCACCAGGGTGAGGTTGGTGATGCGGCCGGCCGTGAGGTGCAGCGGCCGCTGGGCGCGCAGCGTGATGAGCCGCAGGGTGGCGCCGCCCGCCCGGCCCAGGCTGCACACGGGGCTGTCGAGGCCCAGCGCCGCCCCGTCCACGGCTGGGGGCCGCAGGGCTGCGTACGCGGCCACCGACACTTCCTCCGACTGTACGGCCCACGCCACAACCGAAAGTGCGTGAATGTCGCACACTTGCAGGTGTGTGAGCGCCATTCCTACTTCTCATAGGGGCACAGGTGTGTGCACTGAGAAAATATTTTTCCTGCCGGGCACTAGACGGTTGTTTAGTGCGTCCTACTTTGTTCCTGGCACAAACAATTTAGTTCCCGCCACTAAAATTACTGTGCCTGGCAACAAAATTTTAATGCTCGGCAACAAAACTTTGGTGCCCAGGCACAACACAACTGTGTAGTGCGTCAAAAACTTTCGGTTTCGGGACAAAATGTTTAGTGCTCAGGACCAAAATATTTTCTCGGTGTGTGTGTACGTCTGTATGTGTGCATTTTCAAAGGAAAATCCACACCTGTTCTCACTTACTTGCACGAATGGGTATTCACACACTTGCATCTTGTCTCCCCTCATGCATGGCCATGTATCGGGTGTAACTGTGAATACGCAGCAGTGTTGCGAGATTGCATACTCAATATGGCCGCAGGGGCCATGGCCCCTTACGGGTCGAAAGAGTAGGCTAACCCGCAACACTGCTGCGTATTCACAGTTACACCCGGTGCACAGTATCTGCTGCATACATGATCATGTACGCAGTCTCTGCTGCATACATGAAGGTATTCAGCAAATAACGCATACATGTACACACTTGGGTTTCCAGAGCAGGAAACTCCCCATGGCGCTGAGTATAGGAACGCTTACCGCCTCCGCCAGAACATCCGCGAACCAGCAGTAAAAAAGCAGCTGAGAGAAGTTCCACGCGAAGTAGAGCAAGATGAAGACCACATCGACGGCGCTAATTGTTTTCTAGAGAAACGTGAAACGGGAATATTAGCCCACAATTAGCCGGCATGCAAAGGTGCGAGAGGGTTGGCCTATCGTGTGCAGCCGGCGCCTTATAAACGGATCAACTAAGTCACAAAGTCGACAGTTGAGTTTGCAGTGTAGCAGATTCGCGGTTACACACACTGTTAAATCATTGCAAACGATTTCGGTTGATTTGTAACTACAAACGGTTTTCTTTGTAGTGCGAAGAGATTTCGTCGTAGGCTTACACTGAAAATGGAAAGGCACAATTTTGTCCCTAAATATGGGAACGTTATCGAGCACTTCCAGAAAGAACGCAATTTTGTCCCTAAAACTAGACAAATTGTGTACAGATTTAGGGAGAAAATTGCATCCTATCTGGATGTGCACGAAAACGTTCCCTTATTAGGAACAAAATTGTCTCTTTACATTTGGAGTGCACAGTTAAAGTCTTACGAAGCAAAATGCCAAATGCTTCGTACCTACGAAGGATTTGCTCCCTACGAAGCGTCCAAATCCTTCGTATTACAAAGGATTTGGCATTTTTCTTCGTAAGACTTTAACAGTGGTATATGTACATAGCGGGTGGTACATAGGCCCCTTCCTTTGTTTTGCTTATACTTTACCGCATGCAGTCGTGCGGGCGGGTTGCATACTCGCACGTGGCCATAAGGCGCCCTGGTGAGCGACGGTAGGCAAGCCCGCACGCACGCATGCATGCGGTACAGCATAAGCAAAATGAAGGAAGGGGTCTATGTACCACCCTGTACTGTACATAGCAGCCAAATCCTTCGCAAACCGAACAATTCCTTGGCCAGGAGCTATCAGTGGAACAACGCACCTCGTGCAGCAGCCTGAGGGCGGGGATGCACAGCGCCAGCAGGACGTAGAGCATCTGGAACAGGGAAACCCCGGAGAAGATGCGCTCCGTCTCGTCCCGGAGCCTGTCCGAAGAACAAAGGTGGTGGCGTCATTGCTCAAGAGACGCGCAGCGGCTCATCCGCTGCCACCCGCTGGCGGTGCCCGCTGCAGTAGCCCACCTGATGACCATGTGGTGGTAACGGACGCAAGACCGCAGGTGGTCGTCCATCTCCCGTCTGGAGCCCGCGTGCGAGTTCGCGTCGAAGGCAGTGCCATCGTCGTTCCAGTGCTCGAACTCGTAATTTTTCTTGACCTGACAGTTCGTTGTGATTTTACAATGTCACTCGCAAACTTAGGACGCTGGCATGCGAAGAGGCGGGAGGTAGTGCCCCGTACCCCGTACCTGATCATGCGCACCCCCGTCTCCAGCCTCTTTCTGAAGAGCCAGGCCGTGGTGCTTGCCTGCTCGCCGCAGCAGCACCCGGAGGATCTCGCACTTGCAGCTGAGGTGGAGGCACAGTGACAGGAACAGCGTGTCGTACCCCGCTGTCAAAGGAGAGGGCGAACAAAAATGAAAAATGGATCGACACAACGTCCGCGTCGGACAGAAATACACGCGGACAACGCCGCATCAGTTCACAGCAGATGAAATGCACCGCTGAAAAAGAGGAAGGTGACGATTCCTCCCATGTTGCAGACGAACAGGGGCCAGTAAGTGTAGGGGCAGATCAGCAGTGCCCGGGGCGCGTTGGCGATGATGTGGCGCTGGTCGGCGGGGGCGAAGGCGTTGAAGATCAGCAGCAAGGCCGCGCTCACGGACAGCGGCAGGTAGAGCCAGGCGAAGCGGCGGGAGATGGTGCGGCAGCGGGACACACACCTGGGAGCACATGACTTGCACAGTGGGGCGCACAACTCGACCGCCAGGACACTGAGCGCAGCACCCCGCAAAGGCGCTAATGCTTAAGTATGAGAACCTCTGCAACGGCATGAACAATTCTCAAATTTCATAAAATATGACAAAAATTAGAACATATAAGACAATTTAGTGCCCTTGCAAAGGCACTAACTAACTAATTAGCAACCTCATAAGTGCCTTTAGCCTTGCTTATAGCACCCCTTAAAAGATGCTAATTAGCAGTTTGTAGGTCAGTGAATCCTTGCCCACCTCGCGTTGACCCGCGACGCCTCGGGCTCGGCCTGGCTCTCGAACATCTTGAAGCCGTACTGCAGCTGCCGACGCATCTCCACAAGCTGACCCAAACGGTGGATATCAGGGGATCAGTAAGAGTATCATCAACTTACTGGCCCATCCAGCGACTAACCCGACTAACGTCCTCCACCCCAACTTAAAATTTTAATTTTCCAGAATTGTTTCAAATTTTTTCTGATTTTTTTTTCCTGAAAAGTTTTTTTCCACCTATTTTTCTGGTAATATTTCAATTTTTTCGATTTTTTTCCGAAAACGTTTTATTTTTTCCGGAAAATTTTCAGCTTTCAAAATCACCATCCCCGACTCACTCACCCGTGGGCCCGCCCGGCGCAGCACGATGAGCTTGGCGATGAGGACGCTGGCCGCCATGCAGTCCCCGGCGGTGGTGAGCGGCGGCATGAAGTTGGGGTGCTCCTCCAGGACGATGAAGGCCAGCCCGCCGAGCACGATCTGAGTGTTGAACAGCGGGAACACGTAGCGCGCCAGGAAGCGTTGCATAGCGCTCAGGCCCTCGGGCCAAAGGAACACCGCGCGCATGTAGAACACCGGCATCTGCAGCACGCCGGCGGCCTCGTCCTCCTCCTCGTCTTCATCCCCTACTGCTACAGGCGCCAGTCCAGCCTCGAGTCCTTTACTTTGCCCCGGCGCAGAGTGTCCCTCCTGGTGCACGCCAATGTCCGTTAAAATACCTTCAAATACTTTACAAATACACTAGGAAAAAATACAGTTAGGAAAAAATTCACTCAGAAAAAACAAAGGTGCTGCTTTGCAATTTTTATGGGGTGCAGCATCATTTTTAGAGGTGCTACTGCACCAACACCTTTGTAAAGGAACTAAGAGTGCTAAATGTAGCACCTCTGAAAGGTGCTACGCTACGTGGCACACGTTGTTTCCGCAGTACAGCTAGAGTATTTATGCGAAAACTTTGACTTCTGTACGCTTCTCATTTACCTCTTTCTCGTCATCCCAATTGACGACGGTCATCTGCAGTCCGCCGGTGAGGTGCCCCTCTTCTGTTGGGCCGGCTGGGCGCTCTACCGCGGGGTGGCTCCCGCACGAAGCGCACACGGGTGGCAATGAGTGTGAGGCTAGGGAGCTTGCGTGCGACGGGAGAGGACTTCGCAGAATCGCCTCATCTCTCTCGCACGACCACCCACTCCACGGGCGCACACAGTGACAACGTTACGAATGCCAAAATCCTTCGCAATTGCGAAGCAATGCTCATTTGTAGTGACAAAGCAATTCACTGATAAATAAAGTGTTCAACTGGCGTGCACGTGCACATGCTCAACACTATGTTGCACACGTTTGGGTGTTTGACAGGATATTTGAATATTTCGAAGTGTTCAACAGGAAATTTGAACACTTAAATGTGTCTGAAGCTTCATAGCCAACCCTGATATTGAACAATTTTAAGTGTTCAACTTTAGTGTTAAACACTTTAATGAATTCAAATACCCAAATACCCC